GTTGAACAACGGTACAGCTTTTTTGTGGTGTAAAAAAAACTAACGTGTTACACGCACGGCAACGTCTACGCGGTAGCGCGGCTGGACGACTACATCACACTTGATCGTTACATTCGCCATACGTCTACTACGACGCCCTGAATATTTCATATGTAATAACTGATAGGTTTTAATGTGTTGCGATGTTGCTTGGTCCTTGGGTCTTGGGGTCCACTTGAGCACAGGACCTGGTAAATCATGGACCAGACAACATAGCAACGTTTTGAATCTGAGGACCTGGGGAGTCACGGACCAGGCAACATACCGAAAATTAGAAATTAAAACACTCTGCCGTGTCTGATGTTTTGCCTAATTACTGAATTCTCAAATTCCTCACTTAAGCTGAGGGTGTGAAAAATCAGGGACCAGGCAACATAGCAGGATGTTTGAACATTAACAATGATAAGAAAACTATGTTACCTATGTGCTGGATTCTGGAAGCCCTCACTAAGCTGAGGATCTGGGAAAATCACGGCTCAGGCAACTAGCATGGTTTAAACTAGTTAACACAGTTTAACGTTTGCTCGTTTGCCTAGTCGCAGGATTCTGGAATTGCTCACTTTAGCTGGGGATCTGGGGAATCACGGGCCAGGCAAACTGACAAAACTAGTAAACAATGTTTAAAAGAACTTGTACAAATTTTGCTACGTTGCTTACCCCAGTACTTTTGAGATTCACTTGGGCTGAGGATCTGGGAAATCGCGGATCAGACAGCATTACATCTCTTAATAGATTTGAATTTTCGGATAAAAAATTGTGCTAGTTTGCATGGCCCCTGGAATCTGGAATTCAACACTTAAGCTGAGGACCTAGGAATTCACGCATCATGCAACATAGCATTCTATGTAGTGCCACTACGATCAGGATCTAGGAAACCAATAATCAAGTGAAATAACACATGCGCAGGAAACGTGCCGCTTGAAACGTCCGAAGGGGGGCGGGGAATAATGCTTTTGGTTGAAATACCGCTCCCCCTCCTCCCCTCCTCCTCCTCCTCCTCCTCCTCCTCTCCTCCTCCTCCTCCTCCTCCTCTCCTCCCTCACCCCTCCCCCCTCCCTCCTCCTCCCCCCCCTCCACAAATTCATCTTCATGTTCCTCCTCCTCATCATCATCATCTTCCTCCTCCACTTCCTCCTCCTCCTCCTCCTCCTCCTGCTCCTCCTCCTCCTCCTCAGCCTCCACCGCCCCCTGCTCCTGGTCCTCCTCCACCTCGGCCGTCCCCTCCTCCTCCACGTCCTCCTTCTCACCGTCATCTTCCTCCTGATCCTCCGCCTTCTCCTCTTCCCCCTCCTCCTCAGCATCAGCAGCATCATCAGTATCGTCACCATCGTCACCACCACAAACATCATCATCATCATCATCATCATCATCATCATCATCATCATCATCATCATCATCATCATCATCATCATCATCATCATCATCATCATCATCATCATCATCATCATCATCATCAGCATCAGCATCATCATCATCATCATCAGTATCATCATCACCGTCCTCATCATCCTCATCATCATCAGCATCATCAGCATCAGCATCAACAGCATCATCAGCATCGTTGCGGACAACGCGCCTCATGGAGACCTTAAGACCGCCTCCTCCTCCTCCTGCGCCTCCTCCTCCTCCACCACCCCCACCACCCCTCATCCTCTTGTTTTTCCTCCTCCTCCTCCCCCTCATCCGCCTGCTCCTCCTCCGCATCTTCTGCTTCGTCTTCTTCTTATTATTCTTCCTCGTCGTCTTATTCTTATTATTATTATAATTATAATTATTATTAGTATTATTATTATTATATTTATGATTATTAGTATTATTATTATTCGTATAATTATTGTTATTATTATTATTCTTCCTCCACCACCTCCTCCTCCTCCTCCTCCTCCTCCTCCTCATCCCCCTACCTACTCTCCCTCTTCCTCCTCCTCCTCCTCCTCCTCCCCCCCTCCTCCTCCTCCTCTCCCTCCCCTCCTCCTCCCTCCTCTATTCCTGTTCCTCCCTCCTCCTCCTCCTCCTCATCATCATCCTATTCCTCCACTACCCTCCTCCCTTCCTCCTCCTCGCTTCTCCTCCACCTCCTCCGCCTCCAACCCCCCCCGCCTCCTCCGTTCCTCCTCCACCTCGTCATTCTCCTCCTCCTCCACGTACTCCTCCTCCTCCTCCTCCTCCTCCTCCTCCTCCTCCTCCTCATCATGATAATTATCATCATCACCATCATCATCATCATCATCATCAGCAGCATCATCATCATCATCATCATCATCATCATCATCATCATCATCATCATCATCATCATCATCATCATCATCATCATCATCATCATCATCATCATCATCATCATCATCACATCATCATCATCCACATCATCATCGCATCATCATCATCATCAACATCATCATCATCATCATCATCTCACCACCACCACCATCATCATCATCATCATCATCATCATCATCATCATCATCATCATCAGCATCATCATCATCATCATCATCATCATCATCATCATCATCATCAGCAGCATCAGTATCATCATCGTCATCATGATCATCCCCCATCCGCCTCCTCCTCCTCCTCCTCCTCAGCATCATTAGCATCATCAGTATCGTCACCATCGTCCGCATCATCATCATCATCATCATCATCATCATCATCATCATCAGCAGCATCATCATCAGTATCATCATCCTCATCATTAGCATCATCATCATCATCAACATCATCATCAGCATCATCATCATCATCATCAGCATCATCATCATCAGCATCAGCAGCATCATCATCATCATCAGCATCAGCATTATCATGATCATCATCATCAGCATCATCCTCATCAGCATCATCAGCATCATCACCATCATCATCAGCAGCAGCAGCATCATCGTCGTCATCGTCATCGACATCATCAGCAACAGCATCAACATCATCATCATAATCAACAACATCAACATCATCATCCTCAGCAGCAGCAACAGCATCAACATCATCCGCAGCAGCACCATCAGCAGCATCATCATCACCACCACCACCACCATCACCACCACCGTCATCATCATCATCATCATCATCATCATCATCATCACAAGAAGCAGCAGTAGCCTCATCATCAGCAGCATCATCAGAACCATCATCATCAACAACATCATCGTAGGCATCTTGATCAACATCAGCATCATCCTCATCATTCTCCCTATCATCAGCATCACCATCACCATCACCATCACCATCAGCATCAGCATCAGCATCAGCATCAGCATCAGCATCAGCATCAGCATCAGCATCATCATCATCATCATCATCATCATCATCATCATCATCGCCATCATCCCGTCCTCCTCCGGCTCCTTCTCCTCCTCCTCCTCCTCCGCCTCCTTCCGCTCGTCCTCCTCCTCATCCTCCTCTTCCTCGGGGTCCTCCTCCTCCTCCTCCTCCTCCTCCTCCTCCTCCTCCTCCTCCTCCCCCCCCCTCCTCCCCCTCCTCCCCATCCTCCTCCCCCCCCCTCCGCATCCTCCTCCTCCTCCTCCTCCTCCTCCCCCCCCTTCCTCCTCCTCCTCCCCCTCCTCCTCCTCCTGATCCACCTCCTCCTCCTCGTTTTCAAATGTGTGTCTACTTCGTATTCGTATGATTTGTTTTCTTGTTCTTGGTGTTATGAGCCATCTTCTTACTATGCATAGAAGTATGAGTATGATGATTCGTGTTAGTATTATTCGTCTTACTGCTCGTGTTCTGCTTAGGCGCACTATTAATATGCTGGCATGTAAGTACTACAGGTATGATTAATACGATGGCCAGCATTAAAAACATCAGTAATATGTTTATTAGTGTTCCTCCTCCTCCGCCTCCTCCTCCCCTTCTGCCTCCACCTCCTCCTCCTTCTCCGCCTCCTCCTCCTCCTTCTCCTCCTCCTCCTCCTACACAATTACTCAATATGAAAACTACTCTCCCTCTTCCCCCGATGGCGGCCTGAAAGTAGTCGACCCCCCCTGCGTCCTGTTTTTTACACACAGGATTCCCGGGAGTTGGGTTTTCGCCTGCGTTTTTTTTCAAAATGCTGCTCTCGCTGAGGCGCCGGCCTCATTTCTGCTCCCGAATCGTTCCGAATCGTGCTCCCGCTGCAGCGTGGGCCTCATTTTCGGATCGGTGTTTGGCCTCCGTCGTTCAGGATGGCGTTCTCGCCCCAGCGCGGGCCTC